CCGCCGGTCCGCGGGCACGGCGGCGAGGTGCCGCCGCAGAGGCCGAGCGGGGCGCGACGGCGAGTGCACGCGGCTGTAGGCACAGCGGGGCTGGAGTGAGACAAGCCACAGGGCACCGGGGCGGCCATGGCAGCCGGGACCCGCCGACTCAAAACACTGACCTACGAGTGCAGTCCGTCCGGGCAGCCCCTCTTCCGCAGATGCGGCCCGCACTTGACTTGTCGGCAAAGGCTGGGAGGAGCCCCGCAGCCAGGAATCCAAATTCCAAGCGCTGATGCACTTCAAACCTGCAAAGTCTGTCTGCAGGTCGCTGCCAAAAACGCTCTGCCGCAGGCAACAAGCATGTGTACTTTGTTAAGAGCTGTATCTTGTGCGGTTTTTTCCATCGCAACAGAGTCCCTTCCCGCGGACACTGGTTTCCAAAACATTAAGCTTTAAGCCCTCGATGGAGAAATCACGCACTTGCCCTCTGAAAGGAACAAACAATGGGACAGCAGGGTCTCCAGCAGCAACAGCGGCAGAGCAGTGCAGACAAAGCTCCCGTGAAAGGTTGACCCTGCAACCTCCTGTGGCGCTTTCCTGACTCAGGCTGCAGCTCCTTGGTGAGAGCAGTTTTACATCCGATGGGAAAGGTTCTTTGGGTAGATGCAATGTCTTTTATTAGACCAACTAAGTCATTGGAAAAATTGTTCTCTGCAAGTGTTCAGGCACTAACGCCCTCCTTCAGGCATTAACACCAGCAGTCTCCCTATGCCTGAAGAAGGGCGTCTGTGCCCAAAAGCTTGCAAAGAACATTTTTTCCAAGTATTTAGTTGGTCTAATAAAAGACATCACATCTACCCGAAGAACTTTTCCTACCTATGTCCTTAGACCAACACAGCTACAACCAAGAAACCCTTTTTACATCAGATGCACATAGGAACTCCTTCCCACTCCATGCCAGTTACTCCCCCAGCTCCTTGCCTGATCTTCCTTCCCCACCCTATTTCTTCTTCCCACTTTACTCAAGTGGCTCCCAGCCCAGTCCAGCCCATCAGTCTTCCCAGATCCTTTCTTTCCCATTCTGCTCCTCCTTCCCCTCTGCTAATCCTTTCCTTAGTTTGCCAGGTCGTGCACCTCTCTGGGCATTTTAATTGCTACAGCACCCCAACACAGACAGTTTTGGGAAACTTTCGAGACGTTTCAGTCTTACTGCCCTATCCTTCCCTGTTTACGTCCCCCCATCAAAAGGCCAGGTATGGGTGCCGCCCTGTGTTTGAGGGAACGTAGAGACTGCCCCAGGAACACGAAACCTTGGGGCACGCTGCCACCAGCCCCCCAGAGCAGGGTGATGCATGGCACAGCCTCTGCCCAGGAGGGGAAACAGAATCGCCCCAGGCAGTACAGCTCTGTGCAGCTCCCAGCATGGGGAACCTGTTAAATACTCTGGCAGCTTCTCTTTCCATCAGAGCCCTGCATAAAGTGGTACTGCTAGTATAAGGCTCCCTTTCCAGGAGCCTTTACACTTTTCCAACATTAACTCTAAAACGGGAGTTTACTGTACTTAGCACAGTATTTTTGGGAAGGTGAAAGTGTGCTCTGTGCTTCTGCAGATCAGCTGCCTTCACCCCCGGCCATTACTCTTCTTGAAATCTCCTGGTCTCTTCCCCCTCAAACTGCTCCTTCAGAGGACGGTCCCCTTATATCTCTCTCCACCCTTTTCTCTGGGTAACCTCATCTGCAAACACAAATTCAACTGCCAGCCTGGCTGACAACCTCTGCGCTCAGACCCATCTTGCCAAACAATCTTTAGTTTCTCCCCACAACTGCTGCTGTTCTCATCTACTGGAAGCCGTGCTGGGCCTTTCTGGAGGGCAGCGGGTACAACTACCACCACCTCTCTTGGTGGCTCTCCAGAATTTAGTTCAAATTCAACATGGCTAAACACAGATCTTTTCAGTGCCATCCTGCCCCAGCCCCTCCCTTCCTGATCACTGAACAAGACCATCATTCAGACCCATGCAAGTGTAACAGCTGCAAAGGCTTGCTTAGCTGCAAGCTGTGCCTAAGCATTTTGCAAGGCAGCAAAAAGTTTGCAGAGGCTGCAATAGCTTTTTCCCAACGGAAGGTATGCTGTGCACGGTGCATGCTTTTTACTGGAGGATTTGAACTGTAACCAGAGCCCCCGTTGCAAACCCAGGGCTCTGATTGGCTACTGTGGAGCCATAAAAGCTAAGCGAGGGAAAAGCAGCTGTGCACAGAAGTTGCAGGGGAGCTACGCCCCCTGGAGAGGAGGGCAGGGACTCAGCCCCCCTCCCCCAGCAGAGGGAGCGAAGCTGAGGCCAGCCGGCTTCAGGACAGAGGAGTGCCTGAGTCATCCCGGGAGAAGCTGATTCCTCACCCAGGGTTGGCCCTGTCCCATCAGGAACACAGGGAAAGAATGGGGAGGGGGTTGGTAAGCGAGCTGGGAGAACCCGTCTGGTAAAGGACCTGCGGAAGCAAGTCCTCTGTTTGGGCGGAAAAGGCTTGTACTGCAAAGAGGGCTGCAGAGTGAACCGCCTGTCTGTATGTGGAGGTGCTGGGGGAGAGAGAGAGCCCAGAAAGGGAGTGAGCTGGGGGAACCCCAAATCTGCATGGGTGTGACACACACAGGACACTTAACCCCTAGTGGTTGCAGGAGGTGTAGCTTTTCAGAAGGAAAGTAAAGAAGCCTCGCCTCTTACCTGCAGTGGCTGATCGGAGACGTGTTTCTTTTGCTGAGTTACCGCGGAAGACCAGAGTCCACCTTCCCCGGAGCAGCAGAAGCCTCGCCTCTGCCACCTAGCGGTGGACCATAATTAAAGCTGTATTGCCACTTACAGGTACCCGCCATAACCGCCTGTTACAAGGACGCGGATGCAGCCATTGAGGTTGCTTGATGCAAGCGGGACCACCCAGTGTGGTGGAAGTATTCATCTACTGTTGCAGTCCTAAGTTCTATTCAAATTGTTGGTTTTATTATTATTTATTGATAACATATATATTTCTTCTCTTGATTAATCATTTCTGTATATAGTTGTGTATAATAAAGAAACCCATTTGTTTATTGGACTTGAAGTAAATTCTTGGGCAGTGAGGTCTAGGGGGGCACCTCTCCAAGGTACACCCTCGGTGCCAGTAGCCCTGGGAACCCTGAGGATCCAGAATCCGGCACGTTGCCCAGCCTAGCATGCCGGCGAGGGGTATGTAAGTTTAAGATAATACTCAGGATAATTTCTCTCATTTTTTCTAACCAGACTGTACATAAATCATGCTGATTCTTTCCAAATAACATATCTACACACTCTTTCCTCTCTAACCATTCAAAACCTTCATCCAGTCTCATCATCTTGTGCCTCAGTTATTGTAACACCCTCTCTGGCCTTGTCAAATACAGCCTTGCCCTGCTACTACTCATCCAGAATACCCTGCAAAGTGTCTATCACGCTGAGCCATCATTCCTTTCTCAGCCTCCCCTGACTCCCCGCTTTTATTAAATCAAACAAAAGCTATTTGTTTTTGCCTTTTGAGCCTCTTCACAGCCTATCCTAACCTACCTGTTACTGAGATGCTGTCTCCTATCTGCAGTAGGCAATGAGCCAGCCTCCATTGTTCACCCACTACATTTTCCAACACTGTGCTTTCTTCCACTTTTCCTGTCATGTTCAGTGGAATTCAGCGTAAATGTCTGCAAAGCTATATCCTTATCCTCCCTCAGAACTCCTTTTAAGCTCTCCATTCCTGTGGCATCTACAAAAGATGCAATTACACTTAGGCAGTTGGTGTGCTGAGACTGCTATTTTCATGGTCTATCATGCTGACAAACATCCTCTCAATCTTTCCTTGCACTCCTCCTATCTGTATCCCTTTGTCATGTCTTATCTTAGAGCTGGGCAGTAAGCTATTGGAGGCAGGGACGATCTGTGTGTTCTGCATGTGTACAGTACTTCGCACCACGGAGACCTGGCCTACAACTAATGTTCCTGTGCGCTACAGCAGTGGTCTCCAAAGTGAGGCGCGCGCACCCCAGGGGGTGCACAAGACAATCCACTGGGGTGCGGGAAGAAAATATTAGAACTTCTATTTATATTTATTTTTTATCTAAAACAATAAGAAAGAAATTAAGCTTTACTAATAGTTGATATATGGATTGACACTGGCGCCCCTCACTCGGTCTGTATGGCAGACGGTCACGTGTCACGGTACGCGAGTAGTACATGTATATAATTTATAAATAAATAAATATACATATACTGGGGGTGCGTGCTCAAAATTTTTTTACTGACGGGGTGCGCGATCAAAAAAGTTTGGAGACCACTGCACTATAGGAATGGGGAACTAAAAAAGTCAGATACCCCAAAACCAATGATCCACATTCCTACATCCACTCTTGACTTCCAGTTATGCAAAATTAAGTCACCCTTTCATGTTTCATGACCAGAATATTTGGCATTTAAGAAACCTAGTTTCTGTCCAATTTATGTTCCATCCTCATGACTAAGCACCAAATCGAACATGAGAGAGATGAATACTGCTTGTTCACAAATAAGCGCAATAAAAATGCAGAGCCACTAACTCCAGTGGGAAGTGTGCCTTTTACCTCTCCTCCCACCTTCAAATTCTGCCTGCACTCTTCAGATAAAAGCTTGACTGAACTATCCTTTTCAGGATTTATTTGTAAATTTATTCAGGAAATAAAGACAATACAAGTTGTTTACATAGCTATTATTACCTTGTGAGTCACCATTATTTCATGTTGCATTTTGAACCAAATTCTGAGTAAGCTAATCAATCAAAGGTGATAGAATTTTCAGCAAAGTAGGTCCCATCATAATCTGCATGGGTTTTGAAATGCAATCTTGTTGCAAAACTGAATCCATTCCTCTTGAACTGTCAACAAACATGAGAAACACGAATCCCAGTGCAGCGCTCAAATAAGCCTGACGCAAAGAAAAGAATACAAAAGGAGTCTTAGACAGTAATAGCATGAACCAAACACGATCCAGAAGGTATTCACCAAGCTCCTCATCTTCAAGCATGTCTCCAGAGAATGAAAATATGGAAAACTGTTATCCTGACTGTTTAAAACCCTTTCGAGTATCTGCTCAGGACTGGTGTGCTTTGTGCGATGGCGTCAAGGATGCTGATGTTACAGGTACTGTGGTCAGCACCTGATTCTGGAACACAAATTTTTTTATCCTGTCAAATACCCAAAGAAAAATAAGCAGGATACTAACATACTGGATCCAGGCAAATTTAATCATCTCCCAGAAACCTGGCTGATACGTGAAAAGAGTCAAGGAGCACTGAATAATGTTTCCGAAACTACACATTGCAACTAAAACGCCAAACTTAGTGATGAAAATGCAACAAAAATTGGGTGTATGCAAGTTTGCGTAACAAGATAAGAGACTTCGGAAGCCCGGAGAACTTTAGGTCTATTATATACTGATATGCAAGAAAGGCTGTAGGGTGACCAGCTCTCAACCGTTTATAACTAAAGGCACCCCTCTGGAAATGCCAGCAATTAATGCAAATCACCAGGCAAGAAAAATAAAAGCGAGGAAAGCCTTGTCCCTTGAGGGGAACTGCATATGCTGGTTTGTTCCAATTTAAGACACCAAACAAATAAAGGACCATGAAATTATAAAGTGCCAGTCCTTACCTGGGGTCAAGGAACAAACAGATACTCACACAATCCAAAAACTGACAGACATACGTGCTTTATTTGACAGGGCCCAAATAATACCTGGTAAACTTAGAAGGCATTCAGCCTGTCTATTATTCCAAAAAACATTCTCTCTGCAGTGCTTTTGTCTTATAACAAGATGCACAGAGTAAGGTCTGACCAGGAAGAAACGACCTCAAACTTTAAGTGGGACACTGGTTTAAGGACAAGTATACTTCTATTCAGTTACTTCATTAGAGGCCACGCAACAATGAAAGGATATAAAATAACTTCCACTGGATACCGAATGGTGGCATTAATAATAAAAGGTGCATTTGCTGCTCTTCCTATCAGCCAAACAGGATTGGGATCTGCAAGAACTGTCGTTACTACAACGAAAACAAAAGAAAACCAAGTTTAGGCATTGTCAGACTGGTAACCCAAAGCAGGAATGTTCAAGGATCAGCTGCCAATCTGCTAACCATACTCGAATACAGTGATGTTGGTACACATTATTACAAACTTACCATTTCTATCCTGATATGCTGCAATGATGTTAGTGAGATCATAGTCACGTGCGAAGGGACTTGTGCCGTTGATCACAGATATCTGTTATACAATGTGACACCTTAATGCCGATATAAATCATTTGTGGCGTGTTCTCTAGGAAATTACTTCTACCAAGCTTGTTACACAAAGTATTTCTGTCTCTAGAGAAACATTAGCCCAGGCTTAAGCTTGAATAGCTCAACAGATACAAGACCCTCTCCCACTCTCCAGCCCAGCAAGCACACCTCAGGCTGGAAAGGTGCGGGATTAATTCTGCATCATCTATGATGCAGAAAGAGCAACAAAGAGAAGGGAAGAAAGGGTCTTCTCACATTGTATCTGGTGTCTAGTCCACGATGGCTAAGTAATTGCCTCTGCTGTAATTTCAAGTCTCCATTCACGTACAGCTGGGACCCTGGAATTGGAGAGAAAAACTGCAGAAAAGCCATGCTCTGCATCACAAATGTTGACATCCTCTGAAACAAAAAACAGAAGAAAGAACAGAATTTAGAAAAAAAAATATATATATACATTTTCTATCCTTATAATTCTGTTAAAATTCTTCGGGGGAGGACATATTTTCTATTTTTAGTGTCCGATAATTATAGACATGAGCACATTCATAAAATATTGCTTCTTTGGTTATTAGAAGTAAATGACTCCACTGCTTCTTAAACAAGCTCTAGGACCCGGGGAACTACAGGCCAGTCAGCCTTACCTCGATCCTGGGCAAGCTGTTCAAGAAAATTATTCTGGCACGCATCCAGGAGGGGCCAGCAGGGAACAGCATGCTCAGGGGCAACCAGCACGGGTTCATCAGCGGCAGGTCCTGTCAGACGAACCTGGTGGCCTTTTACGACCAGGTCACTAAATCATTGGATGCAGGGGTGGCAGTGGATATAGTTTTCCTAGACTTCAGGAAGGCTTTTGATACTGTCTCTCACCCCATTCTCATTAGGAAGCTGGGGG